CCTAACCCTAACCCTAACCCTAACCCTAACCCTAACCCTAACCCTAACCCTAACCCTAACCCTAACCCTAACCCTAACCCTAACCCTAACCCTAACCCTAACCCTAACCCTAACCCTAACCTCCCCCACCCTATCCCCCCTTACCTACCAACCAATAGGCTACGAGCCTCACCTTTATCTAGTTAAAACCCCTCCTAAATATCGTAGCTAGAAACAACCTACTTAGATACTTGTAGGCCTAAAAACCCTACACGTCTTATATAGCCCTTCGGGCTGAAAAAGGACGTTAAACTAGAATAATAATAATAATAATAGGCTACGAGCCTTACCTTTATTTAGTTAAAACCCCTTCTAAATATTATAGCTAGAGACAACCTACTTAGATACTTATAGGCCTAAAAACCCTACACGTCTTATATAGCCCTTCAGGCTGAATAAGGACGTTAAACTAGAATAATAATAATATAATAATATGCTGACACCAGCACATGCCGAGCTTACTGTGTGGCCTATGGGAAGAGCAAGCCCATAAGCCCTTGTCTCACACCGACATTGTCTATACTTCCGCCTTTCCCTATATAGCATGTCAGTCACTACCGGACCCACATCAAACCTCATTTTATCTTGCCCCTGAAAATCCGAGCATTGTTTGAGAAAGTCTGTGTTTGAGCCCTCCTTCTCCGTATACACTCCATATACCAGATCGAAAAAATCAGAAATGATAAAGAGTAAAATGTTGGAAGAATGAGTTTCCATTTCTCGTGGCTGAACATCGCTCTATAAGCATGCACGAATAGACGTGGAATTTCGAAACAAGGGCCGAGCCAAGCAATCTCCCGTCGCCTGTGTGACATCCAGGACACTCCTGACACTGCATTGGTATGACTAATGGCGTCTATTTAGCTTGATACCTTGCCATTTTGTTGTGTGTTCACTGCGGACCCCACAAGGAGCTCTGTATTCGCTTTGGGCTGTCGCTTTAACTGGTCAAAGGTTTGTGCCGTCCTTTCTCCTGCCGCTTTGACCTCAATTCTTGTGGTGTTGAGGGCGTTGCTAATGATGCCAATATCGCCAGAGTGTTGCATCTGCAGTCCAAATGTCAACTTCCATGTATTATGTCTCCAATATTAGCATTTTGCGAAGGAAAGCGACTCAGGATGGATGCGTATGTGCTTGGGAAGTGGACGCTAGAAGAAACCAGAGCGATGGTTCCATACAGTTTGCTTATATCTCCAGGTCCACAGAGGCGACCATAGATTGTGATAGCCCAGAGCCTATCCCACGTCCCCTATCATTTCGATTTGCAAATCTTCAACAACAATGGGGAGAAAAGTCACTTGGTCAGATGTGAACTGATCGTATGTGATACAAAACATAGGTTCCAGCGCTGCTAGAAGACGTTGCAAAGATATTCATGATGGGTTCATACGAAGGCGGCAAAGACGGCGCACGTCTGAACATAAAAGAATATGACACACAATAAGTGCATTTGATGTGCTGGTTTTATCGATGTTGGGCTGAGTTGGATGCAGATTTGTCTGCAGGACATATATAGTTCTGAAAGATCAACTTCACATAAATTGAAGTGGGTTATGAGACAGAATAGATCACCAGGTAAGACGTGAATTAGTGCAAGTATCAATGGAAATCCTGGAGGAGCTATGATAATCTGCTACATTGAACACATTACTCATTCTTTCTATCAAACAACATGCCAATCCTTTCTACAACGGTGCTCAACTCGCACTTCTCTAGCATGCACTAAGATAAGAACAAGAGGTTAAAACAGTTCAATATACCTGAGCCTTAAACAATACTTACTTGGAACCAGGCTGCATAGCGAATCCGAGTTTGATGTGGTTGGGGTCCGTGTAGTCCTGAATGATGTATTTGCCCTTATGGAAGTTGATACCGAAGAGGCTGAAGTCAACGCCACCGCCAATGTTCTGCAGACCACCTAAGCAATTCTTGCCCTCATCATCAACAGGTTGGGAGATGAGTGCACAACCAGGAGTAAAGAATTTCCTTCCCCGAATGGTGACTGTCCAGCCTGGTGGTTTACTGTTGCAGGGGATAGTATAACCTTGCTCTACAACTGTCACCGCTCCAGGGATGAGCGAGTACCATGCCTTAACAATATCAGGGTCCGTAAAGCTGATGTCAGTTCCAGCCTCGAGATGGATTTTCATCTTCCTTTTCGTAATCTGAGCGCTGGGATCACCGATACCGAATCCATCACCCAGAAAGCCGTATGCGTCCCAGTATCTTTCCACTCTGTTCCAGACCCAGGTAATAGGGCCAGATATCTTCTTTTGGTTGATGAAGCCAAAATCGTAAACACCATGACCTTTAGTGTGAGCAACAGCAAAGAGTGGCTTGTCAAGCATGGGTATAGCGTCGACAAACCAAGTTTTCTCTTTTCCGAAACCGCCGATCTGGTTGAAGTTTGGGATTCCGAGGCCGACTACGCCATCCTGGCTCAAATCTGACGTCCAATCGGCAATAGCTGTGGAGGCGGCTCCGAAGGTGCTCTTGGCGGTGATACCGCCAATAGTGACTGCAATGTTTAGTCAACATAGGTACTTGGTCCTGACACTGGACCATGACAACTTACTTGGCTCAACATATGCATCCCCTTCTACCTGTGAAGAAGCACCGTCATACCCAATGGTGAAGTTGACACCGGGTTTCTTGTGGGCGGGGTTGATTTGGTAGATGTGGTGGCCGACAGTTTGGTTTGCGGGTTGAGCAGAGGAATAGACCCATCTTTAGATGCGTTACTATAAAGTCATGGCTACCAAGGCATAGTGAGTGTCTTACGTGTCGGAGGAAGCAGTGTCCATTATAACCTTGAAAGTGGTGCCACCAATTCGGATTGGATAGACAAATTCGGTGTCATATGGGTTGGGGCTTCTACCGGATGCGGTGCCGGTGACCTTTCGAGCGGCCAAATCAGCATTCCTCTTGGCCGCGGCTTTGTTGGCGGCCTCTGCAAGCTCCGGATGCACTTCAACTCCGAGCCTACGCTTTATGTTGACAATATGCTCTAGTTGATGCTTGGGAGCTCTAACAACTACATTCGACTCTAGAGAGAATGTGGCGCCAGCTGTGTTGTGTTACATTTTAGCTTGGGCACGCCGCAGTCGTTGTACTTGCAGAACTGTAGTGGGGAAACTTTGGCTTCACTCACATTCTGGTAGAGGCTTAGCAATAACTGCGCCGGTGAAGGCGAGTATAGCCATAGCTTTACCATATGTCAACATAGCGATAGCGATTCGTAGTATATTGTAACGAATGTAGAGATCTCCAGTGCAGGCAATTAGGAATGAGAGTAAAATGGCTATGGCGATGTCCCAGGAATGCGAGGCAAATTATTCTATTTAAACCTGTATTACCCATGGCTTTACTTTGCAGTGATATTTCTTTTTTTAGGGTCTGTTCTGTGTTATAAAAGCTTAATCGCAGTGTCGTTGAGCACTGACTGAGCACAGCGCAATCATTCTGACAGCAACATATCATCTTAGTGGCTAGAAAATACACTAAAATGTGCAATCTTCCGGTAGGCCCGATAGTACTGACACCACGGAGAGTAATAGGCTTTGCTTTTGTAACTATGCTGCTCGGAGGCGAGGTATTTCCCGGCTTACAACATGAAATGTAGTTCAGGCGTACTAGCTTGGTTGAAGTGCAGACAAACACGGAGCCGTAATTTTCGATGAACGGAGTGGTAACATGGCGGGTGGTAACGTCCCTGTAGCACCTGTCAGACCGCATGAACCATGGTTCTACGAACAATCCCTTGACTCATGGAATCAACATGCCCGTTCGCCAGTAGAAATTCCAGAATCTCGTATTCGGCATATTAACATTAAGTTAAGCTGCACCATGCTAGTCTCAAGCACGGACACAGGGGAAATGCTTATTGTTTGATGGGAAAAGGCGTGCGCCCAAGCCACGGCATCTCACACCGCTTGCACCGCATCTAACCTGATGAGACACTAATCTACCAGGACAACGACAACCAGCTTGAAGAATGAATGCCGTCCGTAATGACTCTAAGCATGACTACCAAGCTAGTTCATCATGATGATCGTGTCTTGCCAGATTTGCACACGTTCAAGCCCGGCGCCGTCGTGATAACGCCCGCCTCGAACGTTATCTGGTGTGGTTTAGAAAGGATGGAAGAGCGTACCTGAGCATTAATATCTTTATGTGGAGCTCTCTATTACATTAGCGGCGCTTTTTAGGGTGTACAGTGGCAATGGTTAAACAACCCACCACTAATAGCTATCTCACCCACCTTAAAGCTAGGGCCCCCTATATAGCGCGCTTAGCCATATTATTAGTAGTATTATATATTACTTAACGTGGTTCATAAGCGAGCGGACACCCCAAGCGAGCGGACACCTCCCCACTAGCGCGTTAACTTTAACACGTTATTACAGCCTTTTATTATAGTTAATAAACTATTACAATATACTAAATTAATTATTAGAATTACTATTATTACTTACACTATCTATCTTAACTGCGTAGGTACGAGCGTTGTGTCTAGTTTGCTTGCAACGCCCGCACCGCCGCTCTCCTCGCACCCTCTTCAACGCACTCTTACTATCACCACGACTGCTACCCGCCTATTTAGCTAATACTTTTTGTACTTTACCTATAGTAAGAGTCTCTTCTATTTATATGTATCGCCGCTTGTAGCTTTTATGCTTATTTAACTTATTAAGAGCCGCTTAAAGCGTACCTATTTCCTCTATTATAAGCGTTATTTTATGTGCTATTTGCTAGGCCCCCTTACTTAGCTACGCAATCTACTTAGTAAGTATTATTATTATTATTATTATTCTTCTAGTTTAACGTCCTTTTTCAGCCTGAAGGGCTATATAAGACGTGTAGGGTTTTTAGGCCTATAAGTATCTAAGTAGGTTGTTTCTAGCTATAATATTTAGGAAGGGTTTTAACTAAATAAAGGTAAGGCTCGTAGCCTATTAGTTAGTAGGTAGGGGGTAGGATAGGGTGGGGGAAGTGTATAGCTACCTGTTACAGGTATTACTCCTCGTTTTCTGTGTTTCTCTTGTACTAGGCTTGTGTCCTAGCCTTTGTTTCTTGAATAAAGATAATAGTTGCTTCTATACCCTCTTTTATTTAAAGGAGGATAGGTAGTGATAGATCGCCTTCGCAGGCTTCTCTTAGTCCTTTCCTTTCCTCTCTATATAGATTACATCTAAATAGAATATGAGGTAGGTCTTGTATAGACCTATAGTTATAGGGGCAACTATTAGAATCCACTTTCCCTCTCTTATATAGGTAGTCCCTTAGGTAATAGTGCCCTAGTTTAAGTTAGTAGAAAGCGCTAGAAATCTCTCTTCTAGTATTGCTAGGAATAGCGATTTGCTTTCTTATCTTCTACTTGTATTTTGCTGCGTACGTATGTGGATTCTTGCTAGTGGCTTTTTTCCTGTACTGTTTAAGTTAGCTTAGCCATTCTCTCTCTCCTAGCTGCTTAATTCGCGAGCTAGTAATGGCTAGGCTAGTTTTGCTAGTAGAAGGAGGGTCTAGCTTAGTAGCTTCTTTAGCTAGGGCGTCTGTGTAAGAGGCTACGCCTAAAGTGTGTGTGTGATCGAGTATATCTATACGACTACCTAGACTTCAAGAAGCTTGAAGTCTTGTTACTGCCTTTTTGGCTATGGATGGCGTAAGTAGTCGTACGCTCGGCCCGTTGGGCCCGCCCATTACAGTCTGCTTGTAACGGGCTGAACGCCCTTTGGATAGCTCCTCGATGGAATCTCGGTCAAGCAGCAGACGCCAGGTCTTACTCTGCAACCCGGCATCTGTGCGAGGCCTGAGCGGCGCCCAGACGACGCGCTCAGACACTCGGTGCAACCTTTCTCCAACAAGTAAATAAACACCACGCAAGTAGACTCTATAGCTCTCTATTGAATACAACCTCTTGTATACCTCGCGATTGCTCCCTAGAGCGCAGC